TCCCCACTGGAACCATATTGAAGCAAGTGTGGGCTTGCCCCCACCCAGGCTGCACTGTTGGGAACATAACTTTTCTCAACTGCCAAGCCTGCCACAGTCAAGTCAGTGGTGAGTTGAGGCCTTTTAGTGCCAATTAATTGGTCACTTAAGTTTTTTTTAAACAGTGACCAGTCAAGAAGGGTGCTATGGACCTGCCAGTCTAGCACTTAATTGCTGTGATGGAGAGAAGAGGGTGAATATTCTCACTACATTCCTTTCTACCCCCAGGGATGGGATATCTGTGTCAGTGATTCAAATTACTCACTCACTATCTCCATGATCTCACTGATCCACACAGCATTTGGATGCGCTGCTAAACCACCCACAAAACTGATGGGGAGGAGGTGGTAACAGTCAGTGGTGGGTAATTCTTCTCCTGTCATTTTAATTCAGGCCTGAGCTGTGAATATACTATGGCTTTCTCATTAGACTAGAACAAGCTATAATGACTCATACCATAGTGTCAATCTGTATCCAACCAGCCAGTGAGACAGAAATCAAAACAAAATAAAAACCAAAAGAACTGCAGCTGCTGTAAAACAGGAACAAAAACAAAGTTGCTGTAAATGCTCAGCAGATCTGGCAGCATCCAGGTCCAGTGACAGTTCCTCAGAACTGATGGTGGCTGGGAAAACATCAGTTTATATGCAGAAATTAGGGAGGTGGGTGGGGTAGGGAGTAAACTATAGGATAGAGACCAAAGAGAGAGAAAGGCAGTTGGACAGACAAAAGAGTTGCTAACGATCAGGCTGGGAGGGTGAATAGTTGTTAATAGTTGTGAATAGTTGTTAATGGGGACAAATTAATCCCCAGAAATCAAAACACCTTTCTTTGTGGTTAGAATTCATTAACTACTCAGTCTTCCAGCTCCATAACATCTACTCTCCCTTTATATTTTCCCAGTCAATTAATGAATCAATTAACATCAACTATTTGCATCGTTATGACACATCCACACATATAAGAAACTTGAAAATGTGTATGTTACTCATGATCAACAATCTTCAATTTTTAACCTGCATGCAGATGGAGTTTTCTACTGCCCAGAATGCAACAGTGCCCAGAAACAAACTGTTATTGACTAACTGGCCAAGGAACAACTAGTAGATGATTCCATTGGGCCTCCTGCACTACATAGCCCAAGAAGAAGGAAGAATCTGTTGTGGTTACCTAGAATGGCAGAAAATAAATGTTTTATATAACTGAGAAGAAAAGGGGCTAGCAAGTCAAAGGAGACTGAACCAAAAAAAACGACAAGTGAGTGACTTTGCTATGATTCACCAATATTCTATGACCAAACCAAAAGTCCAACAAGTATGCAAAGAAAATGTACAGAACTGTCAAGTCTGGAAAACAGTCCAGTTATCACCAAAGGCAGATCAGAACCTAAAATTCAGTTAAATTTGCAAGAAGAAACAAATAGGAAGAATAATTTTTGATATGAACAGTGCAGCCTTCTGAGCATACTTAGGAATCTTTCACTGATTATCTTCAGTCAAGGGAACACTGAATGTCGTTAACGAATGTAGTGCTGGGTCAGCAGCAATCTTTCAGTGACAGGTCTGAAAATATTTATTTCACCAGTTAAACAGCTACAATTGAACACGTTGCTGTATGCCACTGTACCATATTGTAAAAACATATAAAATTATGAAGGGAGTAGAAAAGATAGAAGCAGGGAGGTTGTTTCCACTGGCAGGTAAAACTAAAACTACGGGACATAGCCTCAAAAAAGGGGGACCAGATTTAGGACTGAGTTGAGGAGGAACTTCTTCACCCAAAGGGTTGTGAATCTGTGGAATTCCCTGCCCAGTGAAGCAGTTGAGGCTACCTTGTTGAATGTTCTTAGGGCAAAGATACATAGATTTTTGAACAGTAAAGGAATTAAGGGTGATGGTGAGTGGGTGGGTAAGTGGGGCCAAGTCCACAAAAAGATCAGCCATGATCTTATTGAATGGTGGAACAGGCTCAATGGGCCACATGGCTTATTTCTGCTCCTATTTCTTATGCCAATCTCATACCAGATTGTATGTGCCAGCAGCATAAACAATAAGCACATGCACATCCTTCAAGCAAACAGTCATGGCTCACAGTCTAAGGCAAGTAGTCCTTGGTCAACTGAAGGGAAACACCTTCCAGTCAGGAGTTGTCAGCACAGTGGGTCAAGGGTATTCTCCAATATCAGTCCAAGTGCTTGGTCACAATGATTTGACTTCTCAAGACAATCAGAGTCAGAATCAGGCTCTTTCCCTCATGAGGGGCGAGGAGACAATTTCTGAGCACCCCACCGCCCATATTGGCTCTTTCTGTTCTATTGTGGGATGTTTCTCGTAGAACGAGAGGAAGAGAGGGTTGAGTTCAATGACATCTGGTGATAGAGCTGTTGGTGCTAGTGCAGGAGGGGTGAGGTGAGAAAGGTGGTGAGATGTCCCAAGTGAGTGAGTAGGCAACACAGAAACCATGGAGGGTTAGTGGTGAGGGAGAATGAAGTGGATATGAGAGAGTGAGTGAGGATCATAGAATTATAGAATCCCTACAGTGTGGAAGCAGCCCATTTGGTCCATCAAGTCCACAGTCCCTGCTGGCATTTGACTAGTGATTGAAGGTTTCCACCACCTGGGGAGACTGCCGGGTAAACCCCAGTGGCTTTCCTGTTCCCAGGGGCCTGATCTTCATTTGTAGCAGCACCATAGGCTGCAGAAGGCCTCCTAGCACTGTTTCCCTGCTGCCAACACATTAAAACATAAAGCCTATCTGGTGCCTTGACATGAGGTTGGGGCCCACTTTCATACCCAGTTCCAGAATATGTTTGCACTTGGAAAATCTCAGACCCATTTGAAAAACTTGTTTCGTGAATGAATGGTCAAAGTTCAAGTGTAAACTCAAACTAGGATCAGCTAGGTTATTTTCTGCTTTGAGCCATTGTCATTTGTTTTTCGTTTTCATTTGAGCCATTAGGCATGTGTTACAAAGGACACCAGATGCAGGAAATGCTGAGCATGCTTTTATATTTTGGTATTGTATGAAAAACATTAAAAATAAACAAGGCCGCACCTCTACAACCTTGCAATGCAGAAGGTGGCCATTCAACCTATGATGGTAGATGTTACAATTTTGAAAAATCACGCTGGATGAATTTTTTTTATTCATTTGTAGGACGTGGGCGTCGTGGCTGGCCAGCATTTATTGCCCATCTCTAGTTGCCCTTGAATGAATAAATAAATAAACAAAAGCTCCCTTCCAACTGCATTGTTCTTTTCCCAATTGTTCTAATTTTCAAGGCTATGTCTTTGAGATTTACTATGAACAAGGAAGCATTGACAACAATAAAAAAGGAATCCAGGAGATATTTATAACTGACAATTTAATCAATATATTTCATTTTGCACTATCAGCCCAAGTCAGAACTACTCTTTCTGATTCTATGGAGATCCACCAACAAGCAGACATAGGAAAGGAGTTTTGGGAAGGGGTAGAATGCCTGGGACTGGAGAGAGTGCAATGTTTCTTGTGGAGATCAGAGAGTTATTCCTGGCCATCCAAAAGAAAGTTTTTAACCATAGCTCAGAGAGACCTTTCAACCTTGCAGACCGTGACTGCACTGTTTCCACTACTCAACCTGTTAAACTACTTAGAGTTAGTTGCGAAGGAGGAGAGCAAAATCCAATCTTTACTTTGTTTTAGAGATAGTAGGAACTGCAGATGCTGGGGAATCCGAGACAACAAGGTGCAGGGCTGGATGAACACAGCAGGCCAAGCAGCATCATAGGAGCAGAGAGGCTGACGTTTCGGGCCTAGACCCTTGATTTATTAACAAAGTGAGAGATGACACATATATAGCCCCTGGCTCTCCAACTCAATACCGACGTCAAAAAGTGTTTCTTTAAATGCACAAAAGTCATTATCTTATTTGTGCTCCACATCTGTGGACACTTCACCTTAACTTTCACAATTAACAAGGAGGGAGCTCCTGTGGCACAGTGGTACTGCCTCTATCTCTGAGCCAGGAGACCCACGCTCAAGTGCCACCTGCTCCAGAAGTGCATAATAATATCTCTGAACAGATTGATTAGAAAGTGTCTACAATTAACAAGGAGGGAGCTGTTGTGGTGCAGTGGTAGTGTCCCTATCTCTGAGCCAAAAAAAAGGGATCAAATCCCACCTGCCGCCAGAGCTGTGTAAGAATATCTCTGGACAGGTTGAATAGAAAATGTACAATTAACAAAGAAGGGTTCCTTATGGTGCAGTGACATTTCCCTACCTCTGAGCAAAGAGGCCTGTCTTCAACTCCGACCTGCACCAGAGATGTGTCATATCATCTCTGAACAGGCTGATTGGAAATATATGCAATTAACAAGGTGCAGGATAAAATGCGATCTGTAATGCATTGGTGCGTTTTGATTTCAATGTACTTTAACCTGTGCATGCACTCCTCAGTCATAAATTACAGGAAGCAATTAAAATTCTGACCTTTGAATTTGCATTGAAATTGAAGCAGTAAGTCTTTGCTGTATTTACATACAGGACCCCTACTGTAAAGTACATCAACATTCCTGCACTTGCTTGCATTTCTGATTGATTAATAAATCACTTTTCTGGTGTATAAATTCTGTTAATTGCTTTAGATGGGATGTTGAACAAATGCTTCAGCACCTCTCCTGAACTTCATTCTGCCTAACAGAAGGTACGTCTTCTGCAGATATTCATTCTTTATGGGCTTGAACATCTGGCGGTGTTCAACCTCATGTTTTCCTGGAATGTCTTGTGAAATTGTAATTGCTGAACCTCAAACTTCTGAAGGCATTTCAGCCTGCAACATCTGGTGAGGATGAAACCTCCTTGCCTAAGACATCTAGGGATCTTTCATCTCTTCATGTCTAGCATCAATCCTAGTGAAAATTAATGAAACTTTAATCTACTGATCATATATCTCATTATCCTCATCAAATGCTCTGACTTACCCTGACTGTACTGATGAAGGCATCAAAGTCTGCTTCTTCTAGATTAGTATCAACCAGCAAAGGTAACCGTTTATATCTGGGAGAAAATATGCAGAACATATTGTTAATCTCGTCAGCTGCGCTATGGCCAACGATATTATTTATGAGCTAGAATAAAGCTGCATTTAATCATTGTTAAAGCATTTCATACTGCGTTTCTCTGATCGCTTTTATTAAGAAAAATGGCTGCCATAGTGGCAAGGTTCCATATATAGGATGAATCTACCAAACTGTTCTTAATGATGCTGGTTAAATGGGGGATGTAGGTTAGATATTTGTAGTGCTGTGGGATCTTTTTCCATCCACCTGAAAAACTAGAGCAGGTAATTAGTCCTATTCAAATCATGACACCCCTTCGCATTGCAAGGCTCCTCACACTGGAGGGTCAGTCTAGGTTAAGCACACAAGTCCTGGAGTTCGGCTAAATTTTCTGACTCAGAGATGGGCATACTTCCAAATGAGCTATGCTGACACAAAATGAAAAGAACAAAGCAAAATTCATAGACTAATTACAAGGGCATTAGTATGGTCATGACAAAGGAGAATCCGAACAGATTTGGAGAAAAGTTAAAAAGAAACAATTCTGAAGGCAGTTAGGAGCAATGAAATTAATTTCTCAAGAAATATTAAACAAACTAAAATACTCTGCATGCATGTAGTAAATAAAAATAAAATCATAATGGGTATGGAGCCACGAAGGGATGATCAGGATAAAATGACAGGCAGAGAAATGGTAGAAGTACTAAATAAGTACATTGCTTCAATCGTAACCATGGAGACAGATCAAGTGATTGTGATATTGGAAGATGAGAATGGAAATGATGTAAATGTATTTTTAAAAATGACAAATATTAAATAAACTAATCAAACGCAAATGGCCTCTAGGCCATTCTGCACATTTTAAAAGAGTC